GGGGCGCTTGAGTTCGTATTCCTCGGTCGCAAGGACTTCAGTCCATCTGTCTGCTAGCAAGTCTTGATCAGCTTGAAGCTGTTGTTGCTTTTTCTTCAGGCTATTTGCTGTGGCCATAAGCCGACGCTTGAAGCGCTCCTGCTCGACGGGGTCCTCAGGCATGATAAATTCGTCATCACCGAGGCTCGCCTTGTCTTCGGAGGGAGGCATGTAATTATCCTCCTCCAGTTCTCCATCTGATGCCTGCTCTGGAGGGCTAGCTTGTTCATCCTCCGGCTCTACATCGTGCCGGAGGGGATTGTGGTTGTCTTCGGCACTATCCGGAGTGTTATTATCTCCTGTGCCGGTATCACTAGTTTTGCTGAAGACAACCACAATGCGTCCTGTGGGCGGTGGTTCCTGCTCGTCTCCTGCATTGTCGTCCATACCATCGATGTCTTCGGAGTTGAAGTCGAGCATGTCGGTTAAATCGTCGACAGTGGCTACTAAGTGGGTGGTGGGTGGGCAGCGAATTTCTTCGTCGTCCGCATCCCATTCTAGCCGGACATAGTTCGGCCAAGGCTCTCATGACAAGGAGAGAGACCTTAATGAATTTAGCACATCGCCGAAGGGTGAGTGCTGAAAGATATCCGTGGAGGTGAACTCCATGATCGGCGCCCAGTCGGATTTGACGGGCATGGATGTAAGCGGCTCGGAGTCCGTGGCCGGAGGTGAATCCAGTGGTTCGGCGACACGGCTCTCGTAGGGGGTGAAGTCAGTATCCGGCTCTATCGCCACTGAGAGTGCGGCCTCCATGGCAGGGTCTATCCCTCCACTCTCGGATGGCGCGATTTGCTCCGGGTTGACGACCGGAGTAGTTGCAGATGCGATTTCCCGAATATTGTCCGACGGAAGAGTTACGTCATGCTCGTCGTGACTGTGCGGCGCAGCTGACATGGGCTCGAATCCGTCGAAGATCAAGTCTCTGCGGATGTCGGCAGTGTAGTTTAAGTTTTCGAACCTGACCTGATGTCCAGGGGCGTAGCTCTTGATCTGCTCCAGATGGCCAAGCGAATTGGCCCACAGTGCGAAGCCACCAAATACGAAGATCTGTCCGGGGAGGAAAACCTCACCCTGGACCGCAATGTTACCGATGATCGAAGGAGCCATCGAGCCTTACGGTGACAGCACAGTGGAACTCTCAATGAAAGCACCAATGTCGGTGTCAAAACCGGCGGATCTTGGGTAGGGGGTCCCGAACTATGCGTCTAATGCGGATGGTAACAGGAGGCGGGAGACAAGATGTTTACCCAGGTTTAGGCCCTCTTGATGGAGATAATACCCTACTTCCTGCTTGATTGTTCTTGATGATATGAGTATTACAAGAGTTGATCTACCACGAGATCGTAAAGGCTAACCCTAGAAGCTAGCCTATGGTATGATTGTATGTTGTCCTACAGACTAACCCCTCCGGTTTATATAGACACCGGAGGGGGCTAGTGTTACACAGAGTCGGTTACAAGGGAGGAGATCTATATATCCGTATTGCCTAGCTTGCCTTCCACGCCAAGGAAAGTCCCATCTGGACACGGGACGAAGTCTTCAATCTTGTATCTTCATAGTCCAACAGTCCGGGCAAAGGATATAGTCCGGCTATCCAGAGACCCCCTAATCCAGGACTCCCTCAGTCCTTTCTTCACATCCACAAATGCATGAAGAGCATGATCATGTACTAACCGAGAAATCAGGTTCCACATCATGTACATGTTCACAGACTGCGCCTCCACGTCAATCTGGTGAAACCTCCTTATAGCGAGAGCAGCAACCTCGTGGTCAAGTGGATGCGTCCCAACCATTTGTTGCAGAACACACACGACATCACCCTCAGAAGCCGTGGGCATGTATGCACAAACCATACACTGCAAAAACATTGCAACAAATCAGATGGCTGATGTGCCCAAAAAACATAATAATTCCCCATTGAACAGATGATGCTATGCCATCTCCATGTACACCATAAAAAACTAAGAACTACTACTCTATCCCTTCCCCCCATTAATATAAAGCTTCGCTACCTCCAACACATATTACCTGTCTGATTCAAACTGATTTCCTCCCGATATCCATGCATGAAACCTATTCACCAATGGGATTGGTGGTGGTTGTGGTAGGCATCCACTTGTCCATGGGTTAGCAGCAAAACTTGCCGACATAACATACCTCCTTTTCGGCAACTTAGCCTCTATCTGCCCAAATAAAACAACATCTGCATCCGCATCACAGTTGTCGTAAAAGCAGCGGACCGTGTCAAGGACTACTCTGGCATTGACAACTTCTATATCTTCATTTCTCTAAAATCAATACCTTCATCATTGGACATGACAAGCAGGCGAGCCACCATTGTCACATTCCTCAGATGCATCAGTTTACCCCCTATCATCACACACACACAACAAACAAGATGAAGACAAAAGTCCTCTGTGAGTAAAACAAGCAAATAACATGACCGATGCAACACAGAAAAGATGACTCCCAAACTACCACCCTAGCCTCCATAAACAAAATAAAAAACATAGACCTACTACTGAATACCTGCACATCGCCTCCCGGGATCATCTAGCATCACACACTTTGACAGTCCGCGCTTGCTAAAAAATGGAAACGGTCCCGCACAAGCTCTATAACTGTCAGCGAAAGAAAACATGTCGGACTGCATCCTGTTACGAAGCAATGTCATACTCAGTGTGCACTTCGCATTGTGCTGCTTCAACATCAAACTCAGTTCTTGAAGCACCTGCATCCAAGAGAAAAAAAACCACAAATGCATTTAGAAAAAACCTGCTCCCCACAAAATTTGCCTCTCAGGGGAAATAGAAATGATCATCGCCTCAAAAACACATACCAGATCATCCCCACAAGTCTCTCGTAAATGCTTGGCAAACTCGTTAGGTCCAACAGACCGATGTGCAGACATTGGATCCCCCAATGTGCCACCCACTAGCGCACCCCTGTTCAGGATGACGTCCGGCTTCTGGCCAACCCTTCCATCAAACATCCCTCCCGATGGCACCTCATCAGGGGACCTTGTTGCAGAAGCACCACCAGATGGCTGGCTCATCAGAGCTACCCGATCATAACACACCGAATCTGGAGGGCCCAACTGTAACCAAGTATTTACAAGCATGAGAAAATAAAAACAAAAAAACATAAAACGATTCCAATAAGGTCATCTCAACAAGTACACACAGGACACCAAAAAAAGTATCCAAAAAAGCAAATCCGAACACTTACCGCTGCAGGCACATACGTCACCACACCTTGTTTCTTGAAATACGCCATCGTAATCATTTGCTACAACATTTTCTGATCAAAACACTACACACGAGGGAGCTCGCGATGTACCATATTAAACAGACCCAAGTCTATATTGTCCAGCACGAAAATCTGCACACAGAAACAAAAAACACAAAAAACAGACAACTCCATTAGCGTCTTCATTCATCTGGGTAACACTTCTCTACTTAGAGGACAAGTAAATCATCAGCTCATTTCACCTCCCCTACCCCCCTGCAGACGACTCATTCTACCTGAAAGAAGATATGGCATCCAGACATATGAATTGCTGGCACATTATTCTGGTAATCGCTCTGCAATTTCCTCACACCTGCCATCAGCTTGTACAAAGCATACTCACACCAACTGAATTGCGCTATGAGCTTCGGGTTCGCTACAGCACCCCAAAAATCAATTGTCGTATGATGATGCTTCGTACATGGCGCTAGTAAGTACCCCAGAACAAAAGTAACAAATGCAATCTAGAAACAATCCTTCTCCATCTTGCTTGACTCCTCCGTAATTTCTCTACTTATAAACATTTCAACAGCCTTCAACTTATGAGCAATAGAGTTGTTCATCTCGATTGTCTGCTTTATAAACTGAATCGCTGAAAACGCAACTTGTGCATCCCTACCATGCACATCTCGATTCCCACACGGCACCCCAGAAATCTTATGGAAGTCACTTGCCGTAAACACAATCTTCCTCTCGCCATCAACTACAATCTCTCGAGATCTAACCTTCACCTTCCTCATCACCCAGGCACTCATCCTCAGATCTATTTTCTTGAGCATCGGTAGCTTCAGTATTCCACCAAACCCGATCTCTGACACTAGCCACCTCTTGTATTCGTCAAACTTCCCCATGACGTTTACTACATGCTTAACTGACAGACGCGACGTAATAACCGGATCCTGCTCTAAGAATTCCCCAACCTCTAGGCCATCAGCTGAGCTCTCCTCCCCTCCGCCCATATAGTCATGCAAAAAACATCGAAAACCAAACATGAGATCTACATCCTAATACACACTTTGCAACTCACGCACACCTACGGATTCGCCCCCCCCAAAAGTAAATCTTGAGAGCACATGCAATCAAGGACGAACCTCCAGCCACAGATGACACCGCGCCACCGCGGATTTCGCCCCCGGATCTCCTCTCCAACACTCACTAGATTCGGGGTCAATGGTGTCGCCCTCCCAACAATGAGAGCCCCGGATCAAGCATACCTCTTTCAGCCGTTTCAACTGTCAAAAATGACCGGGTGAGTGGTTCCCCTGGGTCATCATCCAATCGCCGTTCTACCACCGCTTCCCCACCCCACCCCACGTGGTGCGCATGCACCGGTTCCGTCCCACCCAACCACAAGCTGTGTGCGCCTTGATTATGTTAATTACCAATTAGTCATAACATTTTGTTACTGTTACTTAATTTTTTGAAGCTTACTGTTACATCATTTTGACCCAGTTAGTCTTACCATTTTGAACCAAAGCATTCCCATTTAACCCTCCCATCTCGGGCGTACTAAGCAGGCCACGAGCTTTCATTAGATATTTAATTGTACGAACTAGCTCATTCCACATATATTAAAACCTTCATCATTACAAAAGATACATCATCACCACACACGATACACATTACAACCCTGAAAGCTAACCCATCATTTCATTCATCAGGACTACTGCCTACCCCAGCACGCGCAGGACCACATCGGCCACCAGCAACACAAGTATCGCCATGCCAACTATCAGGCTCGCCACAGATACCACCAAATTGATAGATGCGGGGTCCAACCTGACAGTCCCCTGGCAGGCAGCCGCAGGCAACGCAACGAGGATGTATCCTGTAACTGCGCTGACTGAAGAAACAAACTGTGTGCCATCCGCCATGCTATTGTGCTGCAGCTGTCCACCGTGCGGCATCTGCAGATCTTGAACTCCCCCGCATTGTCCACCTTGCTGCGGCTGTGGCTGGATTTGCGCCAATGGTGGCGCGACAGGCCCAAGCGACGCTAGATGGTCCGCGTACGCCTCCTGCCATCGGTAGAAATCACAACCCCCACGCGATGGCTGCATTTCAACCCCAAAAGACAACCCAAAATGATGAGATGATGAACATATCCGACAAATAACCACGAGCATAGATAAGTTGCTTACGTTGTGATTCCGGCACTTGTAGAAATGTTCATCAGCGTTCTGCCCCCAGCAAGCTACGTAGGTCACCATGTTCCTGCCGCAATCTGGGCAAGGGACGATTGGTAGTGGCGCCAGATCGCCCCCTTGGTTCGCGTTTGCCATCTCCTCATGCCCTACTCTGCCTTCCTCTCTAGATCTGGATCAGGATCCTCTCCTCCTAGGGTTTGCTTCTCAATTTGGGGATATATCCGACCAGACTGAACCACAGCGGGGTAGCTGGTCCCATACTTAAGCGGCGGACACAGGCTAACGGGCCGCAATCGATCCGTCTATGCCTCCGGTACACCTTGCTACCCTCCATCTGTGCATCCGGTACAACTTGCTACTGCCCTTAACATCGCCGCTATCCTCTAACGACCGTCCCTCCGCTTGATACAAATGTCGTCCCTCTCCAATCTCCCCTCCCATTAAAATATCCGTAGACTACTATGGCATTATACAACACGCACTAATACTCTGGACCCCGATGGATGCCAGCCAATTCCGTGAGCAGGTGCAGACGAGCGCACTTGCGAATTATCAGTATTTTGGGCCCTCCATTGTAGTCTGGAATGTGTCTTTGGTGGTGGTTCGAGTGCTGCTACTGCGGGTGATTGATCACCGTGGCGGATCTTTTTTTCTCATTTCTTTTTTCTATTTATTTTCCTTTTTGCTGCGTGCATCCTGGATGTTTTTAGGCATCTTGTTGTTGCAGAGGTTGGGTGTAATTAGTATCTGCTTGATATTAATATATTCCTTTTTCAAAAAAAAATGTATTTGGACCCTCCCTGGTGACTTGGCGCAAACCCTGGTGATGTCTACTACACAACCTTCTTCTTGTAGACGTTGTTGGGCCTCCAAGTGTAGAGGTTTGTAGGACAGTAGCAAATTTCCCTCAAGTGGATGACCTAAGGTTTATTAATCTGTGGGAGGCGTAGGGTGAAGATGGTCTCCCTCAAACAACCCTGCAACCAAATAGCATAGAGTCTCTTGTGTCCCCAACACACCCAATACAATGGTAAATTGTATAGGTGCACTAGTTCCGCGAAGAGATGGTGATACAAGTGCAATATGGATGGAAGATATAGGTTTTTGTAATCTAAAAATATAAAAACAGCAAGGTAGCAAGTGGTAAAAGTGAGCGTAAATGGTATTGCAATTCTAGGAAACAAGGCCTAGGGTTCATACTTTCACTAGTGCAAGTTCCTTCAACAATAATAACATGATTGTATCATATAACTATCCCTCAACATGCAACAAAAAGTCACTCCAAATTCACTAATAGCGGAGAACAAACGAAGATATTATGGTAGGGTATGAAACCACCTCAAAGTTATCCTTTCTGATCGATCTATTCAAGAGTCCGTAGTAAAATAACATGAAGCTATTCTTTCCGTTCAATCTATCATAGAGTTCATACTAGAATAACACCTTAAGACACAAATCAACCAAAACCATAATTTCACCAAGATACTCCAATGTCACCTCAAGTATCCATGGGTATGATTATACGATATGCATCACACAATCTGAGATTCGTCTATTCAACCAACACAAAGAACTTCAAAGAGTGCACCAAAGTTTCTACCAGAGAGTCAAGATGAAAACGTGTGCCAATCCCTATGCATAAGTTCACGAGGTCACAGAACTCGCAAGTTGATCACCAAAACATACATCAAGTGGATCACATGATATCCCATTGTCACCACAGATAAGCACATGCAAGACATACATCAAGTGTTCTCAAATCCTTAAAGACTCAATCCGATAAGATAACTTCAAAGGGAAAACTCAATTCATCACATGAGAGTAGAGGGGGAGAAACATCATAAGATTCAACTATAATAGCAAAGCTCGCGATACATCAAGATCATACCACCTCAAGAACACGAGAGAGAGAGATCAAACACATAGCTACTGGTACATACCCTCAGCCCCGAGGGTGAACTACTCCCTCCTCATCATGGAGAGCGCCGGGATGATGAAGATGGCCACCAGAGAGGGATTCCCCCCTCTGCCAGGGTGCCGGAACGGGTCTAGATTGGTTTTCGGTGGCTACAGAGGCTTCTGGCGGCGGAACTCCCGATCTAGGTTTCTTTCTGGAAGTTTTGGGTTATATAAGAGGTGTTGGAGTTGGGGACAAGTTAGGGGGGTTCCCGAAGCGGCCACGAGGCAGGGGGCGCGCCCAGGGGGGTAGGGCGCGCCCCTCGGGACTCTTCTGGCCCACCTACGGTACTCCGTGGGCTTCTTCTGGTCCAAAAAAGATCTCCATGAAGTTTTAGGTCAATTGGACTCCGTTTGATTTTCCTTTTCTGTGATACTTAAAAACAAGGAAAAAACAGAAACTGGCACTAGGCTCTAGGTTAATAGGTTAGTCCCAAAAATCATATAAAATAGCATAGTAATGCATATAAAACATCCAAGGTTGATAATATAATAGCATGGAACAATCAAAAATTATAGATACGTTGGAGACGTATCAAGCATCCCCAAGCTTAATTCTTGCTCGTTCTCGAGTAGGTAGATGATAAAAACATATTTTTTGATGTGGAATGCTACCTAACATATGTATCCACGTAATTCTCTTTATTGTGCCAAGAATATTCAGATCCTAAAGATTCAAGAATTTTTTTTAATATTGACCTAAAAATAATAATACCTCAATTATACTAACAAAGCAATCGTGTCGTCTCAAAATAACATGGCCAAAGAAAGCTATCCCTACAAAATCATATAGTCTGGCTATGCTCTATCTTCATCACGCAAAATATTTAAATCATGCACAACCCCAATGACAAGCCAAGCAATTGTTTCATACTTTTGATTTTCTCAAACTTTTTCAATCTTCAGCAATACATGAGCGCGAGCCATGGACATACCACTATAGGTGGAATAGAATGGTGGTTATGGAGAAGACAAAAAGGAGAAGATAGTCTCACATCAACTAGGCATATCAACGGGCTATGGAGATGCCCATCAATAGATATCAATGTGAGTGAGTAGGGATTGCCATGCAACGGATGCACTAGAGCTATAAGTGTATGAAAGCTCAAAAAGAAACTAAGTGGGTGTGCATCCAACTCGCTTGCTCACAAAGACCTAGGGCATTTTGAGGAAGCCCGTCATTGGAAAATACAAGTCAAGTTCTATAATGAAAGATTCCCACTAATATATGAAAGTGATAACATAGGAGACTCTCTGTCATGAAGATCATGGTGCTACTTTGAAGCACAAGTGTGGTAAAAGGATAGTAGCATTGCCCCTTCTCTCTTTTTCTCTCATTTTTTTATTTGGGCCTTTTATCTCTTATTTTTATGTCCTCCTTTTTTCCCTTTCTTTTATTTTTCGTCCGGAGTCTCATCCCGACTTATGGGGGAATCATAGTCTCCATCATCCTTTCCTCACTGGGACAATGCTCTAATAATGATGATCATCACACTTTTATTTACTTACAACTCAAGAATTACAACTCGATACTTAGAACAAAATATGACTCTATATGAATGCCTCCGGCGGTGTACTGGGATGTGCAATGAATCAAGAGTGACATGTATGAAATAATTATGATCGGTGGCTTTGCCACAAATACGATGTCAACTACATGATCATGCAAAGAAATATGGCAATGATGAAGCGTGTCATAATAAACGGAATGGTGGAAAGTTGCATGGCAATATATCTCGGAATGGCTATGGAAATGCCATAATAGGTAGGTATGGTGGCTGTTTTGAGGAAGGTAAATGGTGGGTTTATGGTACCGGCGAAAGTTGCGCGGTACTAGAAAGGCTAGCAATGGTGGAAGGGTGAGAGTGCGTATAATGCATGGACTCAACATTAGGCATAAAGAACTCACATACTTATTTCAAAAATCTATTAGTTATCAAAACAAAGTACTACGCGCATGCTCCTAGGGGGATAGATTGGTAGGAAAAGACCATCGCTCATCCCCGACCACCACTCATAAGGAAGACAATCAATAAATAAATCATGCTCCGACTTCATCACATAACGGTTCACCATACATGCATGCTACGGGAATCACAAACTTTAACACAAGTATCTCTCAAATTCACAACTACTCAACTAGCATGACTCTAATATTACCATCTTCATATCTCAAAACAATCATCAAGTATCAAACTTCTCATAGTATTCAATGCACTTTATATGAAAGTTTTTATTATATCCATCTTGGATGCCTATCATATTAGGAATAAATTCATAACCAAAGCAAATTACCATGCTGTTATAAATACTCTCAAAATAATATAAGTGAAGCATGAGATTTCATATATTTCTATAAAATAAAACCACTGCCATGCTCTATGAAGATATAAGTGAAGCACTAGAGCAAACAACAAACTACTCCGAAAAATATAAGTGAAGCTCAATGAGTAGTCGAATAATTACGCAACTATGTGAAGACTCTCTAACATTTAATAATTTCAGATCTTGGTATATTATTCAAGCATCAAGAAAAAAAGAAAATAAAATGACGCTTCAAGCAAAACACATATCATGTGGTGAATAAAAATATAGCTCCAAGTAAAGTTACCGATGAACAAAGACGAAAGAGGGGATGCCATCCGGGGCATCCCCAAGCTTAGGCTCTTGGTTGTCTTGAATATTACCTTGGGGTGCCTTGGGCATCCCCAAGCTTAGGATCTTGCCACTCCTTATTCCATACTCCATCGAATATTTACCCAAAACTTGAAAACTTCACAACACAAAACTTAACAGAAAACTCGTAAGCTCCATTAGTATAAGAAAATAAATCACCACTTTTGGTACTGTTGTTAACTCATTATAAATTCATATTGGTGTAATATCTACTGTATTACAACTTCTATATGGTTCATACCCTCCGATACTACTCATAGATTCATCAAAATAAGCAAACAACACATAGAAAACAGAATCTGTCAAAAACAGAACAGTCTGTAGTAATCTGGATCAAACGTATACTTATGGAACCTCAAAAATTCTAAAATAAATTGCTGGACGTGAGGAATTTATATGTTAATCATCTGAAAAAATAATTAACTAAATAACACTCTCTAATGAAAAATGGCAGCAAATCTCGTGAGCGCTAAAGTTTCTGTTTTTACAGCATGATCGCAAAG